ATTGTGATTCACGACTAGAGAATTTTTAAATGTTTCATAGATTGTTTGTGTTCGTCTTTCGAGAGTTGTAAATTGGTGTGCTTCACAAAATGCTTCACAAGTGCTGAAATTACAACAAAATGTGTACCTATATTTCAAATTTTACGAGAAATTTTAAATTCAAAATGATAATGTGAAACAAAAGACTAGAATATTTCGACGAAATCGAATATCAAATATGAAGCCGCAATGTGAAAACTCGTGAAAATTCGAAGAGTAGAAACCAGTAGAAACAGGAGCAATGAATTTGATTTCGTTAGAAGTTTTAATGCTGCTAAACAAACGGCAGATAGTTCACTGAATTTATAATTTAATTCCAGTGAAAATGTTTGTACTAAACCGTCGTAAAAATGATTGTCCAACGTGGAAGCGGAGGATTAATTGCTCACTAATTAATGATGTTATGTTTAAAGTTTCTTCTTTATTTTATTGCACACATTTAACCGTACACATAAGAAAATGGTTATGTTGCTAGTGAAATGGATACTTCCATTGCACGGAAATGGGCACGAAACGCTAATTTAATTCGAAGAACAAAAAAAATAATAATTGTCAGTGGAAAATGTAATGTCACAAGTTTTGCTGTTTGCTGTTATCGCGTGATGGCCGCGTTGTGAAAAATTTGGCAAATATTCGCAATGGCAACGCGACTGGGGATTGAACATCATATAATATTCATTAGTTGGGCTTCAGTTGGATGATTATTCGTTAGCGATGCTATCATTGCGTGTTGTTACTTACTTATCAAATCGGTATCATATCAAGTGATAGTAGTCTTTTTGGGTGTCACTGTGTAATATTTGAGACAAACACAGCATTCCTCGGGAGATTGCCAAATGCGTCCGCCTGTTTTTCTTGAGGGGGATGGATGCTTTTTTGTTTGCCATTCTTACGTCGCACTTGTGAATTCCCATCGATAAATAAAAAGTAATCAAGTTCTTGAAGTAAAAGCTAAGATGAGTCGCATGATATTCCATTTGAACGACAATAACGATGTGGAACGCGCATTCAGTTTTTCTTTGGTGTGTTCCGTTGAGTGCGTGGTGATGGTAATGTGTATATAGCGTTTGAAATGTTTGCGAATGGATTGTGTGTGTGTCGAGTGTTGACGACGTAACAGTGGCGCGCAAATTAATGCAAATGCTATACTTTTTGCTTTTGTGTGCAATTGGGCTGCCTCTTTTTCTTTCATATTTTAATCAAAATGATTATGTGTTTTCAGAAGGCTGTCAGCCATTGTGCCACCACTTCGGCAACGGGGATGAACGCACTGAGTTTACGCTATTGACGTTTGCTCAACAGACATAATATTATACGCTCGATTAATGCATAACATTATTATGATGATGTTCTTTTTCATAGATTATTTGTTTGATGGACAAATGTTCGTTTCATTTACGAAATTTTACACTCGCCAAAAAAAGAACAACAACCATAACAGCCATGGCAAACGATATGCCCCAAATGATAGAGAAAATTAATTTAAAAAAAGATGATGTCATTGAATAAAAGATGAACTATTCATCAGCTATCATGAGCGATACACACAGTCTCCGAACACTCGACAGCACCAACAAACTTCAACACACCAGCGAGTGTGTGGTAATGAATATTACGCAAAAATACTTTTAATTAAAATGAAATATTCAATGATATTTGCAAAACTGTGCTGCCCGCAAACTGAATTATTAATTTAAAGTTTCAAACTCACCCGCTGTGATGAGCCATTTCAAACTGTATTCATTTCGTTAGAATTCAATTTACCAACTGAACAAATTAGTTATGGAATAGTGATTGAATGACAAGATACGAAATATGTCAATTCTCTGCAGGCCCAAAAAACCACCCCAAGTTGATTATGTTGTACGTTGTTTAGTTGGGATTCATTTCATGCTACGCCTAATCCGAAATCGAACAGTTTGACAGTTTGATCATTTCTCAGAATAAATTTCATGCTGCGTTTGATCAAAGTTACTGACGCACAAACAGCATTTCAAATCCAATTGTTTTTACTCATAAATTATCCGCTTTTCAAACTAGTTTTCCGTTTTTTGGTCGTATTTCCATCGAAAAACATTCGAAGCGCACCGTGCGCTACACAACCCGCACACACATCAAATGAAATGATCAGCAAAAATGAATCAAAAGAAAGGTTAAACGCAATTCATGTTCACAAACATCAACAACCGCATGCATATGTTTGTAGAATTTTCGACTTTTCGAAGAAAACATTTTCACGCATTTTTGTTTGGTCAAATTATTCGAGCGCTTTTTCAGTGTACGTTTTCTTTCAACCACAAATTTTTAACTGTAATCTTGGTTCCTCTTTTTCGAATGTATGTTCTTCTCTGCCGGAAGCTAATGAATGGTATTATTTTCTGAACGCACACAATAAACGACTCGCTTGCTATTTTCAAACTTAATTAAAACTGTTCGTATTTCGTTTTTATCGCGTCAATTCAAAAGCATCTAATAAAATAAAATGGTTTAAATAAAACCCACAGCTATCGACGGAATACTTGCTCTGCACATTGTCCTGAGAGGAAAAAACTGAAATAAAACACGAAAAAACTCAGTCACAAAGTGAAATTCATTTCAATTAAATATTTATTTGTCTTTTTCGATTTACAATTTCAAATGCAACGTTTTTTTGCTCTCTCTCATCGAAAGTAAACATTCTTTGTGCAAAAAAAAAAATGTACATGAATAATGAATAAATTGTTGTTAAATGTTGTTTGAATTGAATTTCAAATATTGAATCCTCATGGCTCAAACTGGCTGATTGATAAATTGTGATTGAATCAGCAGTATAGTTTTATTGAAGAAAAAAAAATCAAAAATATCTCTGGTCCAGAAAATCTGGGTTAGTCAATGTTTCAGCGTATGTCTGTTATTTTTTTCTTCCGTTCTGCAGAGAGAGAAAAACAGAGCTATATTTATCGAGGATTCTCTGGCAGTTGTCAAATAAAAATTGTTGATCGGAAACAGTGTTTCATTTTTGTTTACGTTTTCACTGAACAGGAAACAATATCAAATATGTAATAAATTTTTATCGCCAAAACCGAAAAAAAAAGTTTTTCCATTCTTCGTCGTCTTCTACTGCTTTCCATGAGTTCGTCTTATCTAGATATATGTTATTTTCCTTTGGATTGGAGCTGAATCATGCTCACGTCTCATATTTTACTGCTTATATTTAATATCCATTATATTGGTTATTGGGAGATTAGATACGATCACGAAATGTAATAAATCTAGCAATAACATGTTAAAAATGGTTCGTTTATGTCATTTTATGTTCATATGGCTCAAATACAAATTCGTTCAGAGTTTAAGCGATTGAGTTTCGACCGAACGAACAAAATAAACTCCCTCCCTCTCTCTCTCTCTCTCTCTCTCTCTCTCTCTCTCGCTCGAATTCATTTTATGTAGATTTAATTTTCAACAACAATTTGATTACACATTTGAATCGATGCGAATAAATCATCAAATAAGCGCTGACAAAATGCTTTTTTCATTATCTCGTTGGTTCGACACAATAACAACAAAAAAAAAAAATCGATCGAATAGAAAAAATCGAGCCGCTTTTTTTGTCGTTTTGATATTGACATTCGTTTGACCGCATCATTCCACAGATGATGAGTTTTTATTTCCCGTATCGGTTGCGTCTATCTATGTGTCACAAGATTCCAAAGAAACCAAGAAAACTGTAGCATATATTCTCTAATACACATTTATCTATCTTTATTGCCCGACATGTTATTTCTCGGCTTAAAATTACATATTCGCAGTGGTACCTATACATATATATGATCGATGCGCCGATGGGCTTCAGTTTTTAAATGAACCACCGCTGGGCTGGGTCATAATGGCGCCATCCTTGCCATCGGCTTATACATTCACATTCTCTCGATAGCGTCAAACTGGACGCTGCCGACTTTTTACATACTTCATTCCATTTTATGAATCCTCTTCCACGAGATTCGCAACAATCTCAATGGCTATTGTACATTCATAAAAAAATGCTTTTTTTGATGAAAACAAAGTTTGAAATAGATTAAATTTGTGAAGGAGAAAAAGGGTAAGGGTACTTTGTTTAACATCAAAAGTGGTTCAATATATCCAATAAAAATGTTTAAAACAAGAGAAGCTTTAATATCATATTTGTACTTACAGTTGAATGCCAATCAAAGTCAAAATAAAAAAAAAGTCTGATCCAAATCAAAGAAATTAATCGAAATTTTGTTGTATTGAGCAAATTTACAAACAGAAACAATATATTTTGAACAGGAGCTATTTGGATTAAGATGGGAGGTGGATGGGACGATTTGAAATATTTCTGCTAAAGTCATCATTACTTTGAGATTGTTCGCAAATACTTTCGGGTCAAAAATGTTATTCTTAGATTCCTCTCCATAGCGCACATAACTGTAATGCTAACTGTTACCAGCACTGTATCCGAACTGTAAAGTTCAAATGGTTAATAATTTCTCGCATTTAACTTCAACCCAAATATACTTGAACATTTCAGTTTTCGGTGCACAAAGTTGTTCAGATATCACTTTAAAAATTAAAATTTGAGATCCACTCCCCAGTGCTATGGTTGCAGTATCATGAAGTATAAATGTAGAAATGTGTGTGTAATGGTAGTTTTTGGTATATTCAGTATATATATATATATGTCTAAAAAAGTGTTTTCTATTGCCATTTACGAAGCCATTGAAAATGTCCTTTAACGAATGGATATGACAAAAGTTCAAAATTTATGATCCGAGTGTTAAAAATGCCAAGGAATTCCGTTTGGCCTCAATTGTGTAGTTTTATATTTAATCGAATGATTCCACTTACCCATATATTCATTTGACCAATTTCAAAAGTTCTACTTTAGTTCGTTTATTCCAAAAGAATAAAAGAGAATGCATACAACGTATGATTTGTATGGCAATAAAATGTCGTGTTGTCTCTTGGTTTTGTTCTCTGTGGTTTTTCTTTTTATTATTATTTATTATTTATGATGTCTCTGAATCGTCTAAATATATTATTTTATGCATAACTAGGTCTATGTGTGTCTACATGCTTCTGTAAATAGGTTTATATTAAACATCAACCAACAAAACTATAACATTTCCACTAGTTTCTTTTATTTCTTCTGATGCTTATAAAAAAAATTGTCCATGTGAGTGCCCTACGACGACTGACATTTTATGTCATTATCAACGTTTTGTAATTTGTTTTTGTCTCTGCTTTGCCAGACAAACATTTTCGAACAATTTAAATAGTTTCATCTCGGGTAAATATTTCGATAGGTTTGTAAAGTGGAGTGAAAGTGAGACGACGACATACAGACAGCAACTGTAGTGTGTAATAAATATGTACTACCAACTGCTAATTGTGGTCGGTCGCTTGTGTTCACCAACACAAATCAGCACCGGCAATTTTCAAAACTTTTTTTCTTCTCCCATTTTACATAAAATAGTAGTTCATCTGACCCAGAACGAATAAAATAAAACTGTAAACTATACAAATACATAAATTTTCAACAAAAATATATTCATGTTCTGTTTTTTATTTCTTTTCTTTTTTATCAACTCCTTCTTCTTCATTATATTTCATGTATAATATGATTCTAATGTCAAAAGTTTTTGACTCAAAACGGTTGTCGCGCACTCGCGTACACACTTTCCACAGTGTATAACATTTTGTGTCTCTGTGTATGTAAATTATCGAAAATAAATGTAAACATACAAACCCGCCATACATTTACAACGTTCAGTTTCTATACGCTTATTTGGAATACAATAGCCATATTTCAAATATGTGAAGAAAAACAAGCGAAATAACTCCATCTCTGTGTTTTTACTACTGCTGTTGCTGCAGTTTTTGTGTCTATTTTATCAATATCATACCATAATTACGTGATAGATGCAACTCTGTGCCTCTCTATCTCTCGCTCTGTGTACGTGTGTTTTGAAAATTTCATAAATAATTTAATCGATCAATAATAAATATATTTCTACATGTTGCCATCGCCGGTGCACGATATTTCACTTGCATATTCCACCAGCGAAATTGGCATCAATATAAATACGAGGGCAATATAAATTGTGAAATGTGTTTATCATGTAAATATATCGATTTTATTGTTTTGATTTGAATAAATAAACCTTCGATCCTGGTATGTGTCAATTAGGTGTGAGTGTAGAGGGATATGAGGACGATGCTGATTTTTTGTTTCTCTCTGACGAAGGAAATCGTCGCCGTTTTAGTTCTTACGATTTAAACTTTTGTTGCTCATTTTTTCTGCATGAATGAGAATTCCGCTTGACGTACCAAATGTTGATACTCGCACATCAAATTTCACATCCAAACTGATTGCTTGAGCCATTAAACGCGCTCCATCAATGGTTGATTCGCTTAATCTGTGCCATAAATCGAAATACAAATAAAAGAAACATTTTGAGAAAAATGTCAACACAACGAGAGACAGATTTAACGATCTTTAAAGCTCTGGATATTAACCGTCTTAATGTCTTAAAAGTGATAACACTTACCGGATATCGATTTCATTGCCACGAATATCGAGCACCGCATTTCCGATGGCTGTGATTTGATCATCCTTTTTACCAGCCAAACTACAACCGAACCATCGCAATGAATTCAACGATGACAACAGCATGTGGAAGAATGCCGGCTCAATGCGTGTCTTTTTCGAACGATCCAACACAGATATTCCATCGATTTTCACATGACTCAATGGGCTATTTCGTAACGCTTTTGAAACCGTTTTCATTGTTTTCGATGCGTCATCTAAATGTATGATCCAATTGCACATTTTCAATGTGTTCAACATACTAAAAGAGAAAACAATTTTAACAATTATCCATCGATTAAACTGATTAACGAGCAGTAAGCCATTGAACACAATGGATTTTGAAACCCGCAAGCGTCGATACTCACCTAAAGTGTGTGTGCAATGAGTGGAAGAAAGCAATAATGCACTTATCGTCTAAAATGAATGGCGTCGATGTTGAACTACCGAGGCCAGATTTCGCTGCTCCCGACAAATCCAACTCACGCAAACATGGAAAACCACTTAGATATGGTAGTAATTGAGGTCCTCTTAAAATATTATTATCGGCTAAAAACACCTGCACACACAAGACACAAACCAATTAGATGAGGGATATTGAACAATTTAATTTACAACAATACCGAACATGATTAACAAAGTGAACGGACAGAGGAAAAAATGTATCTTACTTGTGCACCAGCCATTTTCAAAACAACAACCGAACGACATTCGTACGTTTCGAACGGTGAAATGGTTTCAATTTTCACTGCTGGCAAATGCAATCGACAATTCGACAATCCTAATTCTCTTATCGAAGTAAACGTTAAAAATGCACGTATCGCCGAGAATGTCGTTGAATTCTGTGGAGAAACATAACAACAACAAGGCAATTGAAATAATTAGGTTTCAAAACTAAAGTAAATTAATTTCCAATTTGAAGTAATTAATCTTCATTTCCTTGCAATAACTTACATCCACTCTGAATGTCCATCCATCTAAGCTAAGTAATCGCAATGAGCCGCAGTTGGCCAAAGCGCGCGATGACATTGCTGTGGCACCATCCTCGAGCACCAATCGTGTTGATGCTAAACTCATCATTTGTAGGCTGATCGATTCACCGCAACCGAGTAGCGTGGGCAACACTTCGCTCATGCGAGACGATCCTTCAAGTTTGATGGAATGAAGTTGAGTTGAAACGCGCACCGTTTCACCGAGACACATCGAATCTTCGAGTGATAACTGTGCTTTGCTTAAATCCAATCCGTGCAATCGTGAATAGGGTTCGCGTACAGCTAACAGTAAATCGTGTAATGTGCCTGAATTGTGCGGTCCACCATCGCAGGCGGGCGTTGGATACCAAGTTTTCGATACGACTGAGTCAGAGCTGCGTTTATCGGGTGGCAAATCCAATGGTTGTCTTGGCAGTGTGGCCGATCGACCGCTTGGATTGGCTGGCATCAGAGCACCACGTGGCAGAGATGAGAATATTCCCGATTGGAATGAGCGTGGTGATGGTGCGTTTGTTAGTGTTGATTGCTTGAGTATTGCCGATGTTCCCGTGCTACTTCCACTTCCCGAGCTCATGCTAACACCGCTTGATGACGGTAAATCATCGCGAACACCCCAACAAGAGGGTAATGCCAACGATGCCAAGGGTCGTGCTTTCAACAGAGATGCCAAAGCAACGACAGCTCCTCGTTCGCATCTCAAATGCGGCAACGATAATCGCGTTACATTCGGGCATGTTTCTAAAACTGAGCAAATTTGCACCAATTGTGATGTGAACAGTCCCAAATCGAGCAGCATTGATGTAACTTTCGGTTGATGCGGCAATGCACGACACAATGCCGTGACAACTGATTGTAATTTCAACATTGGCGGATCTTCTTCGAGCAACGTTAAAATCAATTCGAAATTTTCGAGGCGCGGTTTCAGCAAGCATCTCGATACACAATTGGCGATGACGTTCATTTCTATTTCTTTGGCATCGTTTTCAATTAACGACGTGATGCGCAACGTTGACACACTTTCATTAAACGAAAGTGCATCCAAGAATATATCCAAACTATTTCTAGATTCTAAAAATGTGTGCTTATCGATTTGATAATTTAATTCTAGATTTTTCAATGTACTATTTTGACTTTTCAATGCCATTGCCCAGCCTTGAAGTTCGACGGGCGTCGATCGGATTTGCACCCAAATTGGATTGGTCTCGAGCGGTGAAATTGATGGTGTTTTCGATATTCCTAATAAGTCACATAGAGCATTGAGATTGGCCGTTGAATCGCCACCGCTCAATGCCAACGAGAATACCGTTTGTGGGCTCAGCCAAAGTGGCGTCAGTTTCGATAGCAGAATGTGTGCGCGCGGTCCAAGCAAACTCATGGCAAATGTCAATACTTTGAGTATTTCGGGTTCGACTTCGTCGTTCAAGGACAAACCAGTGATTTCAGCTGCCAAAAGACCCGGTCGATTTGCAAGCGATGCAATATAGTTGGCAGCCAACAATTCGATGATACCCACACAAATCGGCGTAAAAATGTGTTCGTTCTTCTTTTTCGCTGTTTTTCCGAACAGTTGTGCCTTTTCCAAGCAATTCAATATGCTTGATTCCGGATTTGAGCAATACATTTTAATTTCAGTCGTTGTCATGGTCGTTCGTTTTGTTTTCAATGAAAATAGTGCCAATCGCCCTAGCTCAGCGATTTGCGTTTGGGTTGCATCCGATGCGATCCAATTCATTATCGATTCAACCACGTCAATTTCATCGGTAGGCAAATCACCGTTTGAGATTTCATAGCCGGTAGCAAGGGCAAGACAACCGAGCGGTGTCCGGGCAACATTGCGAAGGTGAACGCATCGTTGAACGGTTTCAAGAAAACGTGACTGTGATCGCCATTGACCTCCACTTAGTAACGAAACCGATTTACCCCACGTTAATCCCTCATACTTGACGTGTCGTTGAACCAGCGGCAAAATATCCACTATATTCTGTGATGTGCTTATTATAATGATTCTTGATTCAGGGAATAATTTGCCTTCAAGCAAATCGATAATATCTTGTGGGATATTCTTTGCTTTACGTTTCGGTGAACTTCGCACAATGTCATATCCATCAATCACAATCAATAACTTTGGCCCGAGTGCCGACAGTGAATTCCAAGCGGATGAAAAGCCACCAAAACCACTTGCAAATGGGTTATTCGGTCCTTTTGATATCAATTCCTTCAGGGGAAAACAGAAAAGAAAAATAATTAAAAAGTTTAATTGGAATATTGTGAGCAATTTGGCACGTTTCTTTTCGCACGTTGTTCATTTTTTAGAATTGTTGAGAGCGCGCTTACTTTTTCCACAAAATGTGCGATACTCTTTTTGTTATTCATTTCGACTAATGGAAGATAGAGAGCGACGGCAACGGGAACGCCTCGTGCTGGCCATGGCGGCTCTTTTGCCCATGCATGCAAAAAACGCATGGCCAAAAAGTGTCTGGCCACCCAATGCGGACATTCGATTATCAATCGACGCGGTGCCTCCAAAATTTGACCGTCTTTTGTCTACATTATTCCACCATAAAAACAAACAAATTCAATTTTCAATTAACGAAACAAAAGAAAAATAAATAAATCAAATTTTCCTTACCTGAATCGGGGTGAGCAATTGATCGACAGTTAATAGATCGCTAAATCCATGCGATTGTGAGTGTAGCCGAAATTCGGGCTCTAAACGAGCCGGTGACAATGCACCTGGCATCTGTGAGTTCGTCCATGTTGGAATATTTGGCTCTTTTAACGCCCACTCAGTGTATAGCATCTTTAAATATCGACTGAGTCGTGCCTGTGTATACGTGTCATCACAAATCGATTTTTTTTTTTGTTGGAACAAACCAAAGACGAAAGAAACAACGAATTAAATGAATACAACATTTTCGAAACACAAAATCAAATTATGTCAATCACATGAAACGCAACAACAACAACAACAACAACAATAAAATGTAATTTGTAATGAGAAAAATGCTCTCTAATTTGATTGCAAATCTCTCTCAGTGACAACAGAGCTGACAATTTGTACGTACTTGTGGATCTCGTCGGGCATCGGTTGAACATACTGGTGGTGCTGGAGGTGATGGACAATCCAATGACACATACGAACCGAATAGCTCGCACTCACTGCGATACGATGTGGATTTCGGTGGATAAAGCTGCAAGAAAGAAGAAAAAAGCACACACAAGTTAGTCAAAATAAACAACAAAACTTCTAGTCGGAAGACATCGAAAGAAGAAGAAAAGGGCGCATACGCTGTAAAATTCAAGTCAAAGTATGAAAGTATATAAAAACATAGAATGAATGCAGCATGTTACTTCATTGTCGAAGGGAACAAATTTCAAAGACAACACAAACTTTCTTCACGTTAACTTTTGTTCAATTGTTGTCGTCACTGTTGCATACCGAAGTATGTGTGTATGTGAGTTAGTAAATGAGTGTGTTTGTGCTCTTATGCACAACGACAATATTCTGTTGACACAGAAATAATCCCATCGTTTAAATCTAAATGCGCTTTTCTCTGCTCAAGCTTTTGTATCGTATGTAAGTAAATATGCCCAAAATCCAGTTTCAACGAGATAATGTGTACGAGTGTTATCTTTTCATTTTTTTTTTTCGGTTGATGGTTTTGTGTATGTGTTTGTCCTTGTTTGGATGTTTTTACGTTTGGATAAATGCGACAGCCAAACAAATACGAATGTTAATGTTGATGGAACAATGCACAAAGGACCGACAAGCCACTCATTTTTATTCCTTTTTTTGAGCGAAGTGAAAAATATTCAAGACATTTTCCCTTTTTTTCACTTCATACAAAAAGAAAAAAAAACTTTCCGTTCTATGCCATTGTTACATAGTCGCCATCCCGCACATCCAATTGCTCTCGCACTTGACAAATTACATAGAGCTATACGTCCTGGCTGTGTTGGTGTGTGTTTGATTGTGTGTGTGTATGTGTCTCTTTCTGAATTTGTGTGTCTATTTCCAATGGAAACGCACGTGTTACGAAAATAGAACGCATCATCTCAGGACAATTGAAATGGAAGAGAACGAGAGAATGGGAAAGGAGCGACTGTGCCATTGTGGCCGTTACGAGAGTTGCTTTTTATCAATTGACTGCGCCGTTGCGAATGTGAGTCGGTGTTTATTGAATGAAGCGACAAAACATCACAAACATGGCAAATATTTTGGATAAGCAAACCAACGCCTTCACTCTCTTCAGCTTTTTCTCTCTGCTTTTTTCCTTCTTCGGTTCAAATCTGCAGAAAAAAAAGAATACCTTGGACAGATACGAATGTTGCTGTGAAGCTCAATATTTACATTGCATTTAATACCATATTCGCAAAGTTGGCTTTGTTTTCCAGTTTGAGGAGCCGGAAAAATGCTGAACAATACAGAAAAATAAAGTAAATAGCCGTAATAAAAGAAAGAACAACAACAACAACATCGACGACGACGAAAACAACATCCAAGGACAAATTTGATTAAAGTTTTCGGTTGAAGTGCGTCCGATATGGCACTTGCACAAAATATCCTGATTCTTTTTTCTATCTCCCCTTTGTTTCTCTCTCTCTCTCTCTCGCTTTTCGGTTCGGTCGTTCTCCGATTTGCGATGGTTTTAACGGTTGTACCACTATCTCGCAATAACGGGGCGTAGCTTGTGTCACGGATTAATGTGATTGTGCGTGTGTACGTTTCGATGTTTGCTGTTTTCGGCAATAAAATGCAAATTTACCAAACCATTCGCACAAGACAAAAAAAAATAAACATCATCTTCTTATTGCGTCTGGCTGCCGCATGATTCGATGTAAGCCACTTATTTGAGGCCGATTATATTAGCTAGTCTACCCGAACAAATGGAAATGTAAATAGAAGGTCCCAAACACACAAATTACCGCAGCCAGAACGTTGAGAAAAAAAAATCAATCTCCGTTCAAAGCTTCATATCGGCGAAAAACGATGCGCACAACGACGGCATTGACGAGACGTGAAGCACGGTGGGGAAAAAAAGACGGGAGGACAAGAATTGAATTTTTTGTCAAAAATAAATCCTTTCTAGCGTATCCATCAAGTGGCGTCATGCACCAACGCGCACAACGCCATCGTAATGCTATCAAAAAATCCGTTACACACAGGTAGCAGCCGTGGAAAAAAAGACAGAGAACAACACTCAAATCTATTTTTGCAGTGAACAGTGATTTAGAGCTATTCACATAAAAACGGAGAATAATGTGCTTAATATTTGCGAAAATTGTTTACTATCTTGCCTCCAATATTTCAACCATCCACTCTATGAAACGGCGTGTTTATATTTCAACGTTGTTGCGTTCGTTTTTCTCTGCCACAGTTTGATCGCGGCCCTGTCAACTCAAGTGAAATGTAGTCACTTATAAATTTTCTTCGTGCTTCTCTTTCCCAATTCAGTACAAAAGACAGTGCGTAGATATTTTTTTCCTTCTATTATCTGTTCACAAGGATGATACAAGGAGATTTTAGCGCAGAAAATGAAATAAGTTTGAGCACAAACAAGACAATAGTGCGGCAACATTGTAAAACATGAACTCAACTGTGTATTTTGTAAGTTGTTGAACATAAATAGCCCGCGACCCGCTTCGTAACGAGAGTTTACTCTACCCTCTTTCTCCATCTCCCTCCTTCAGATTGTTCTACTCCCGTTGATTTTTTGCCGTAAATATTAATTTAAAGAATGAAAATGGAGACAGCAGCAGTACCGTGCACTAGCATAAACAGCGGGGGCAACAGAAAAAGAAACAGCGGCACACAATGAAGCGCATTATCGGTTAATCTAGAGCGATATTTATGTTTTGTCGACACCGATCGCACATTTCTCACATCCACATCCACATTTCATCGTGATGGTAACGATGGTGGTGGGGCTTGCCTTTGATATTTATACCGAATCACATAGCGCAGATTTTACATAGTTTAATGAAGCATTTCAAGTATCTTCGTCATTTCATTTCCCTTCACGTGCAAATGCCAGCTTTATGGAATTCTATATCTGTCTTAATAAATTAAAAGAATGAGCAAGTTTCTCTTTTTTTTGGGGAAAAAACATCGACCAACATGGCCATAACACACAAAAAACACGAAACATTTCGCTCATAAAATGTGCACAAAGTTCGTGGCAAGTGGCAAATAAAACAACAAAAATGCGCACCCTGAAGGTTTGCTTGCGTGTGTGAGTGCAAATGTACAAAAAAAAAGCAGAAGAACTTTAGTACTTGGACACAACACAATACGTACAACAAGAACAACAAGAAGCACACGAAGTGCCACGCGTGCCACACAAACGATATACACATCAAGAATAAGAGATTACTTAAAACAGCGAAACCGGAAATAAATATTCGACCGAAACCATTCACCACCACGAGATATGCGGTTGTATCAAGTAAATTAGATGACACAACGATGTCATAATAAAATGGTTTGGCATTATTAAGAAAAATGATGATATTTCCAACATTATTCCATCAAGAAGCATCTCGTGCTGCTGATGCCACTGCTCCACACAGCGACAGCACATCACGAACAAACAAGCTTTGGCTTTCTTACCACAAAAGCACTTTGGATAAGGTCATGGTTTTGCCATTATTTCTACGGTTTGCTCTCTGCGTTTGGCATGATGATGCTGGGCTGTATAGCAATGAGTTCGATTCCCATTTGTCTTCATTGAGACGCGCATTTCTTCATTTTGAATTGTCGTATTCTGTCGCTTTTTTTTAAAGAAAAAGTTATGCCATAACGAAAGCGATGCATCACATCCATAACAGAACATATGTTTTGTTCTCGTAACCATGATGGATACGCGCGTGCTATTGGAATGAATGAACAATATGAAAACGAAGTCGCGATGTTGAGGCAAAAAAAATGTGTAAGCCTCTTCGTATCATTATAATGGCAATAACAATGGAAATAAAACCGAAAAAAATAACGCTCGGAAAATTACCCTATAAAAATCTATCATCAATACGCGGGAGAGTGGAAGATACAGAGACGGAGAGAAAGAGCGCTTGGGGAATTGAATATTCGCATATAAAATATGTCAACAATTCACAATGAATTAAGTTCAAAAATTGAAGCGAGCGCCTAATGACAAACATGTCATTAAAATATGTCATTTGCATTTGATAAAGAATATTTCAACAGATGAATATAAAGTACACATTCAGCAATGACTTATGCTTTAAGTGGCTTCAAATAGAAACAAGAGCTTCATCTACTTTCAATGACATTGGAAATGTGTTGGCTCATTGTGTTTCGATAGCAAACATCTGTGAACAAGCAATTCGCCTGAAATTCCTGTACAAATTCATTCTATCAAAACAAATTCATCGTATCTTCCATCGAAGATCGTGTTCTTTGATTGGAAGCTCAATAAAATGCATACAAATAAATCCCAATGACATAGACAGGAACTGTATTTCGGTTGAGCGGTATTGAAAAGTGAATCTGTGATTTCAAAATTGAGTAATAAATCAAAATATTCGGACGCTCGTAAATCGAGAAATAGAAAGAGGGAGTAGAATCGTCACCATTTACGCAACGTAACTAGGTGAAAACAACGGCAATGATTCTTGGAAAAACGTTATAAAAAATCGTAAAATCGGTTTTTATGAGCATCGTCAAACGAAAACTTTTTTATGTCTTCTTTTTTTTTAACAAAAAGCACAAGCGAATGCCATAACACACCGTGACAGCAAGAGCATATACCACTAGCGACATCTTGTTGCACGCTATAGTAATACCCTATACGTGTATGTTTGTATACACTTGACGTTAATTTCAACACATTACTATAAATTGGGCAAAAAGGTGTCGCCTGTGGTATATTGCTCTTTGCTGCCACGGTGTGTGCCATAAATTTTCAAATACTGTCTGATTCGGAATTCGAAGTGTTCAAAAGGAAAAAAAGCAAATTGAACATGGCATCAAAGAAACCGGCCGATGAAAAAAAAAACACGTGAAAATGTAATATTCTGTGTCATTTTGCACCATACCCGTGTGCAAATAAAATGACTAACAGTCACTCAGTTGTATGTAACTGTATGTAGTGATACACAACTAAAACTGGCTAAGTTGATTGAAATCATGCGTTTTGTATGGAGACAATCACGTTTAGTTATTCTTTCAGTC